TAACTAACCCTAACAGCTTGAAAGTATCACTGGATTTTGGACTTTATCTGGGCACCTCTTTAGTACGCCTCAGCGGTATTACAGCGCTGTCTAATTTTGCCATTAGTACTTTGGCTCGACCGGGTTACCCAAAATTGCAAACCATACCCCGACCAGAACCGCTCTATACTCTGCCAGAATTTACTAACAGTGCGTGATGTCTTGAGATCAAATGAAAGGTTGTAAGCTATAGCTAGAGCAGACTTTGTTATTGATGTATGAAAGACCTCCCATAGATTCAGCTGTGACTACAAAAACAAACGAATTGCTTCAGCAGACACGTTCACAGGATAATATTTCCATCATACGTAAGCAAACATTATCGCCAATGAAGGGGGGAGGGGAGAGGGCTCATACAAGATTAGAGTTTTAGTCACTATTAAGTAAAAAAAAGATCAATAGCTATTGAAATGGCTGCAGAACAGGGCAATCAAGGCAATAATATCGAGCTTCATGACTTCAAAGCGCGAACATAAAAAATCAAATAGTAGGCACAACAAAAAGTGCTCCTGTGGGAATGCTCTGAGAGAGAGGAAGTGTATATATCTGAGGTCACGTATGACGTAAATAAGCTAAAGCCGGAAAGGGAAGTTTTCAAATGGAGATGGTCCCCTAAAGCGCTTCAACTGACCCGTACGTGAATTAAAACTTTCACCATTGCATCTCCATTCGCCATGGATAACTGCGTACCAGATACAAAAATGACCACCAGAAAAAGAGACCGTTACGTCATATTTTCCATGTGCTCTTTTACTTTATCGGTCATTTCAATTGTGTTGGGTTTTGCTCTGTTTACGAGAATAGAAAGTGTCGCCCGAGACTTGAGGACAATGGACACGAAATTCTCACTGCAAATTCAGCAAATCCGAGACATTCTAAGAGAAAGTTCAGCCTCTTCCCGCGGGAGCGAAAACTTTGACACATCAAATGGTAGGTTGACTGAGAACTTACTCTGAATTATTTCTCCCAAATTTTGTCCTTGTGTATATGTTCTCTTTTATATAGTATACGGTATCTGTATTTCTTGTCTGGACATTGGATGGAAGAACGATAAGACTGCAGGCAGGAGAATTTTATCACGCAGCGACTAATGTAATTGTTTTAATATTAATTCAGCAGTCTTTCAAAACTTAACATCAAGACAGGCTCGTGTTTTTTTTTAATTTTGACTACGGCCACCCAATATTAGGCTATTAGCTTTAATCACTATATGGTTAAGTAATAACATGATTTCGAGTTCAATTTGATGTTAGTTGGCGAGAATAATTTTTCAAAGACAACGAAATTATCCGAGCCCGTAGGGCAAGTAAAAGCGCGCGTGTAAATTACACTCGTGTTACAACTTTGCAGCCGTGTTACATGAGAACGCGTAATTTTTTTCATGTGCGTTATTAATAACGAAACAAGTAACGAATGGCGAGGCCAACCAGACTTCAGAAATTGAGTTAGAACGCTAGTAAGATTTATACAACATTAATACGTTAGATTCGTTGAAAGGGCACGATATCAACTATCAAAGGTTCTTGTTCTATCCAGAAGCATCTGTGCTCGTGCACATTCGCCCTAGATATTTAAATTTTTGCAAATCGCCTGATCCAGATTATATCGTCTACTCCAATGACTGATTAAATGCGGAAACTCTAGCCAGTCTTCAAAAATTAATAAAGAATATGTCGATATTGAATGCAGCCAAAATATACTTGAAACATCAATCAATGATTTTACTTTGTTTATTTTAGCCATCCGATACAAAATTCCAGTTGTTCGTCGCAGCGTGGATACAGTTAACGGCAATGAATCGATTAGCCTCTATGACCTTGGAGAGTCCATCAAGAGATACGTGCGATCGATTATGAAAGGATATATTTGTCAAAGTCCAAACAGGGTTTGCGTGGCAGGGTCTCCCGGACCAATAGGAGCTCGTGGTCTTCCAGGAAAGAGAGGGCCTGAAGGAATCAGGGGGAAGAAGGGAACGCGAGGAATTGTGGGACCTCCAGGAAAACCGGGAGAGCAAGGTATCAAGGGAGATATTGGCCCTCAAGGAATCAAGGGAGAAAAAGGTAGACAATAAGATAATGATGATAATCATAATAATGACAAAAGTAAAACTTAATAAAAAAAAATGTTGTGGTCAAAAACTATTACAGTGATGGTTCACGATGATAGTTCCAATGTACTTCTGTTTTATTTTAGCAACTTTTTCATTTTCATTTGTGTATATATTTTTTCATCGTTTCATTTGCAACATTGCTTAATGCTTAGAGTGCGTATATCGAGGTATATACAAAGGGGAAGTTCGGTGAGCACGAGAGTAGGAGAAGAGTTTTTTTTTTTTTTTTTTAACAATCGTACAATAATAAAGCCATTTTTCCTCATTGTTGTTAAGCTTACGTTACACATATGATCTTTTATGTGTCCCTATCTAAAGGAGCGATCTTTAATGATTATCATTTCATTATTTCCTTTAACTGGCAACTATCTTTTTCTCAGGAAACCCAGGGACACCTGGACAACCAGGAGCTAAAGGTGAACCAGGCGAGTCCTTATCTGCACCAAAGGTGACTGTATCACCGACTTCAGACACTGTTACTGAAAACCAAACTGCCACGTTTTATTGCTCAGCTAATGGGAATCCAACGCCTACCGTCACCTGGAGTAGAACAGGTGATACGGAACCAATTTCAAGCCCACATAATAAG